AGCAAGATAAGCAGCTAATATCAAAATGACAGGATCAAGTTCACACATAACAATATTAACCTTAAATGTAAATGGACTAAATGGTCCAATTAAAAGACACAGACTGGCAAATTGGATAAAGAGTCAAGACCCATCAGTTTGCTGTATTCAGGAGACCCATCCCGCATGCAGAGACACACATTTATTTATCCCCTGTAGCTACAAAATTCCTAGATGTCATCTTCTTTCAACAGAAGGCTGTTTCATCTACACTGAACAACTGTTGTTTAGTGTAGCCACCTTCTTTTATTATCTTACCTGTAACTTCTTGATAACTTTCTGCAGCTTCTGTATCAGCATTTGTTGCTTCACCTTGTAATTTTATGTTATGAAGGTGGCTTCTTCCCTAAGCCTCATGAATCAGCCTTTGCCATCTTCAGAGTTTTCTTCTGTAGCTTCCTCACCTTACTCAGCCTTCATAAAATTGAAGAGTTAGACCTTTTCTCTGTTTCAGGTGTTGGCTTAAGTGAATGTTGTGATTGGTTTGATATTGTATTCAGACCACTACATTTTTTTCCATGTTACCAATCGGGCTGTTTCCCCTTCTTATTATTTGTGTGTTCAGTGAAATAGCACTTTACTTTTAATTTCCTTCAAGAACTCTTTCTTTGAATTTACAACCTGGTTAACTTTGGCACGAGTCCTAGCTTTTGGCCTGTTTCAACTTTTGACATACCTTCTTCACTAAGCTTAATGATTTCTAGTTTTTGATGTAAAATGCAACATAGGCAAGCTTTCACTTGAACACTCTGAGACCATTTGTAGGGTTATTAATTGGCCTGATATCAATATTGTTTTGTCTAAGAGAATAAGGAGGCCTAAGGAGAGTAAGGGAGATGGATAATGGCCAATTGGTGAAGCAGTCAGAACACACACACTTATCAGTCAAGTTCGCCATCTGATGTGGGCATGGTTTGTGGTATCTCAAAACAATTAAAGTGGTAACATCAAAGATGACTGATCGCAGATCACTGTAACAGATAAAGTAACAATGAAAAATTTGAAATATTGTGATAATTACCAATATGTGGCAGAAAGTGAGCACATGTTGGAAAAATGACTCTGATAGACTAGTTTGTTGCAGGGTTGCCTCAAACCTTCAATTTGAAAAAATTGCAGTATCTGGGAGATGCAATAATGTAAAGTACACTAAAATGAGGTATGCCTGTATATATCTTACTCTGCTTATTGGGTCACTTTGTTGAAGAATATATTTGTCTCAACTCTGAAACAATGTTCTTTCATTTTTGTATTAATACAGTGAATATATTTCGTAAATGGTTCTAAAAGAGTTTTCTTTTTTTCCCAATGTTAATACTTTCTTAATGAACTTGAACGAAATGTATCAGGAAAATAAAAAAAAAGTCCCTGGTTAGCATCTGCAGATTTGAGTTCTAATTAGTCTACTTTTCAGAGGATCCATTTCCTTGACTGTAGAATAATGATAAGCAATCTGCTCACTTCATCGGGCTTCTGACACATTTCATAATTAATTAGCTAATGATAAAGCCAGTTTTCATTTTTATACTGATTCTGCCATTCTCTCATCTTATGCTTGCTATTATCTAGTTTTTAGGCCTTTCTGTGACTTATCTATCTCACATTCAAGCATCTAGGCCAAATTAAAAGTTCTACAAGATGCATCTACATTTCTTCTCATGACTGTGTATATGATTCAATGCTACTCCTCCCTGAGTTGTATCAGGAAGATTCAATATGATATCACATCTCGTCACCTACAGACTATGACTCTACCTACTCTAGGATTGTTTTATATCAATCAAAATAAGTGCCATGAATTAAAAAGTTTTGGCAAAAGACTGAATTTAGCACTGGTATGACTCCTTGCCAAGTCATTGGTAAGACTCCTTGCCAGGTATTCTCAGATTCATTTGAGTATTCTCTGCAAGAATGCAGGGAAGGGATTTGGGGCTTCATGAACTAGCAAGAAAGAAAAGTCATTCACCATGATTGTAAAGTCTTTGAAAAAAGGAAATGTTTTAAATTTCCCCATTGTTCACCAGTGACAGGATGACAGAAGGTTTTAAATATATCAAATATTTTTATTTTGCCTGAAAATCTGGTATCTTCATATGACATTTTTCTTAGGTAATTTATAGCCAATTTTTTAAAGGAGTTTGTTGTTTATTTGTAGGAGCAAGCGAGTTATGATGTGTCACGCTATGAAAATATTTTCTACCTGTTCTGGGTTCTGGAGCAGCTTCTTCAAAAGGAAACCAAAGAAGGCAACACTTCAAGTATAGGTCATGATGACCAAGAAATCAAGAAATTTCTTCAGAAGCATGATGAAACTATTTTCCAACTTTCTGATGCATTTCCTTTGTTTACTATTTATTTATGGAGAGTGGGCATTCTTTTGAACTCAGCACAGATAGAATCTCTTAAAAATAACTCCATTCCTTAGCAGTTTACCACGTTTGAAGCATAATAAAGTGGAATATATGAAAATCTCATACTGAAAAGATTTTCAATAGTATTTTAATTAGCATTTTAGAATTGATCTCTAAATATAATTATCAATTCAACTTAATGGTTAAATTGTATGAAATTTTATGAATCATATTTCTATACTAAAATCAGCCAGTTTCAGTTGGTAATGCCATCGTTATTCCCATGTAACTATATCTTATTTCACTTAATATAGTTTAGCTCTATTATTCTGTAAAATGGACCATTAATTGTCTGTCTCTTAAAAGATACTGAAGTTGTGAAAGATTTCCATGCAATTGATGCTAAATGGTAATCAAAGAGATTTTTAAAGTTTAGTTGCATTATCAACACAAAGTGTTGGAATATAAGTGGTCATAAATGCAATTTTAAAAACTTTTTCTTACATAGTTGAATTTACATCATTGCTTTCATCTTAGATGAGAATCATATAGAAGTAGAATTTTTTTAACATTTGGAAAATTAATTGTTTTTTATTTCAATTTCATATGGCCAATACATTTGTCGAGCTCTTTTGAAAATACTATTAGTTGTTTAAAATCTTCTTTGTTTTTCAACAAATACTTGTTTCAATTCTGTTGATTAAATATTTATAATATTTAATATATATAATATATAATATGTAATAGTTATTATACTATTGTCAAATAGTATACAATTAAGTCACTAGAGATACCTTATAAATTCTAATATCCATCAATCAAAAAATGCAATTTATAGTTATTTGGTTGGTTGAATTTTTCAGTTATACAATTTCATTGACATCATTTCATTGACATCATTTCAGTGATTAAAATCATAACCACAAACTTAATGAGCACATGTTACGTACTTTCCTATAGTGCCACTTAGGGAACACAAAATATAAATTTCCTTTATTAATTATAAGTGATAGTGTTTCATAATTAGCATTCATAAATGTCATTGGCATTAAAAATAATCTTGCTAATTCCATCCACAATGTATATACAAGTATGTCATCTGGCACAATTATCTTTGTAATTATTTCTAGCATTTTTGAAAAGATAATGCCTTTTTGATAATCCTGAAACTAAATGTATGTCAGTCAGCTTTTGTTATGTAACAGATAATCATAAAATATCAGTGGCATACAACAATAATGTTTCTCAGATATATGCAGGTCACTCAAGGATCTGCTCAGTTGGACTGGACTTTAATGAAAAACTCTGCTCAGGTTGCACATACCACAGGAATTGGCTTCTTGCTAAAAGTCAGGCTTTCTTCTCTTCCACATGTGCATATTCTGAGAACCAGACTGAGGGGGAAATAACTTCTTAGTGGAAGCTCCTCTCATGGCAGTGGCAGTTGAGCAAGACAAAAGGCTAGGCTGAGAAATGTCACATTAGCACTTTAATCCACATGTGTTGGTCAAAGTACACCAAATGGTCAAGCCCAAAGAAAAGTGACAGGGGAGTAGACTTCACCTTGAGTGGGAGAACTTGCAGTTACATGTCAATGATCATCGATGTACGTAGGTAATTAGGGCCAATAATTTACTTCACCACAAGTACCAGTTGAATACAAGAAGGATAGTCCAAATCTTGAATTAGGAGGGATTTTTCTAATGTCTGATTCCTGTGAATGCCTGTGAAGGCTAATGGAAATCATTTCAGTTGATGGCATTACACAAAAAGCCACTTTCCATGACACCTTCATCTTCTTTCATTATGATTAAAGAAGATTGGTAAATACACAAGTATCAGCAATGGCCCTTTCCCCATTGCAGCCAGGCAATGTAATGATCAGCCAAGAAACTTTTGGAGCTACAACAAATTTATTAATTTCAGTGGTCTCCAAGGCTTCAAGGTCTGAAAATTAGCCTAGGAAATGTATTTATTATAAAAGAAGATGCAAGATATTGGGATCATTGTAAATGCACAAAATGGAGAAACATTTTATTTCCATTTGGTATCCATTTTATATAAACATTTAACTTCCACCAAGTATATGATACTTAAACTTTCATTATCCTGTGTTTCAGTCTATATCAGAGTGAATGGTGTAGTAAATTAGTATTAAGGTCCAAATCTACTCATCAAAAAGAAGATAAAATGATAAAAATGAGACATTTGTATCTGTGTTTCAGTAAAGCAGTGAATTAATGAATGATTTTAACTAGTATTACAATGTTTAAGAATATTATAACAGTTTATATTTAGGTAGTGTCTAACTTTAGAATTAAGGTTTTAGGGATAAGAGTAATGAGAGGCAGTTTAGAAATGGGAGCACTGAAACGGAATATTAAGATAGAGAGGAAATAAGGAGAAGCCAGCAGAAGAGCATAAAAATGAAGGAAATAAAAAGTGGATGATTACTTGCTGAAAGCTTCATATACGTAGTTCATTATTAAATTAAGTAGTAAATAATATGATTGTATGAGTAATATAAAATATTTGTATGTTTATATAATATATAAATAAGTAATATTATACATATATGATGGACGAGTAGTATAATACCAATAGATAGTCAGGGACTGTACATAAGCATGGACCAGAATATTTAACCTTTTTGATTCTCCCAGGCGAACTTGTATGGAAAGGTGATGATTATTTCCTGAATCTGTGTTTTAGAGATGAAGAACTCAGGCAAAGGAATGTTAAACAGCTTGCGCAAGTTCACAACACCAGGAAGTGGCAGTTAGGTTTCATCCTGAGGAAGTCTGTCTTCCAATTCCACACTCTTACTTTACGGCACTGCCTGTTATATGCAGCTTTCCTGGCACTTCAGGAAACTTTCACAAACACAACTTCTTTGCAATTGTCATCAAAGCTTTATACATGCTTAACTATGAACCATAAGGCACAACAGTGGACATTACTAGCTTATGATTAGCTTATTTTGGATTTTGTAACTGCTGTAAACAAGTTGTCCTATCTACAAGCAAACCAGAGGAACAGCATCTTTGACCTCTTCAGGGTTGTAGCATTTTGCTACTCAAGACTGTAGCCAAGTTACAGATTGTCTTCAAACAATAATGTCCTAAAAGGTACAAAGCTCCCTCCAGAGGTGTTTAGGTAGACTGTGAGGCTGTAGTATAGCAAAATGGGGAGAGAAAACAAATCTGATTGGTTTGTTCTTGGAAAAATATATACAATTATCTCACAGGCTTTGTACTTTTTAATGATATTTGTTATATTTTAGCCAAGGTCAGCATATTTCAAGAGAGGCAGAGAAACAAGTCATTTGCATTTCCAAATTTGTATATACATTTACAGATTTTCTGAAGGCCATATTGTGGGGAAAATATTGACAGCTCTGCTTTATTATAACCTAAATTTCCTTTATTCATCAAATATGAAGCACCAATTGTCTACAAACCAATTATTTGAAAAAATAAAGCATACTAAGCTTTAACTTTTGTCAGATTTATAAAACCAAGATTTCTCTTAGCAGTCAACATAACGACCCAACTACATCAATGTTTGCTGAAGGAGATAATTAACTTATTAATGTTTATCTATTATTGAAAAAAAGATATAGGATTTTATTATTGTTAAAAGTTAATTTATTCTTCCCAAATTATTTATAGAATTGCACAATACAAAAGTTATCTGGTTAATAAATATACTGGTCTTGTAAGAACATTCTAAATATTACAGAGTATTAGAAACACATAAGAAAGAAACAGCCCCTTTTTTTGTTTTTTACTTAATATGAAAGTCCTCTGTTTTTATTTAGTGTGAAAGGAATTTTAAGGATCTATTCCTAATAGGAAGCAAAACTTCTGAAAATAAACTAATGTTCTAACATTTAAGACATTTAAATAATTCAATTATATATTTCATTGGCATATACCCTGTATTTGTAGTATTTTCTTCTGACATTTTAATCTAAATTTTGCTCTAGCTGCTTAAATGGTTGGTGAACTTTTGTTGTATTTCTATCAGTAGTTGTGTTTATGTAAGTGTTTAGTCAGTCCACTAGAGCAGCAAGATTTCCAGGTGATAACGTTAATTAACCTTAGTTATCTCTGACCATATACAAAGCAGTGGTCCTCAAATGTGGTCCCCAACCCAGCCATATTAGCATCACTTGGAAACTTGTAAGAAATAAAAATTCTAAGCCTTCACCCCAGACCTACTACAGGATCAGAAACACTGGGATTGTGGTTCAGTAATCTGTGTTTTATCAAGTCTTCCAGGTGATTCTGATGTCCACCAATGTTTGAGAACCACTGATATTGTTTTTACTGATCAGGAAGGTTTTATACTTATAAAATCATTCAGAAAGTAGAAATTTAGTCATCCCATAGTATTGATTTTTTTTTAAGTTTCCTTATATGTGCCTTAAAATTCCAAAGGAGGATTTTTTGGAAACCAAATGATTCCAAGTTCACTGAAGTAGCATATTTATAAACAGATCAACCTTAATAGCACTTAAAAATAGCATTTTAATATTTAGCTTTTAGCTCTCTAACTAAAACATATCTTTATTCCCCATGATAGTACTTTAAAAAATTATTGTAATCTGAGTTTAGGAGATCAAATTAACTATAGCTTTTTTCATTTGTCCTGGGATAGAGCGATGAATGGGCAGAGAGATGCACACATGATGTTACTTTCCTCTTATTAGCTGCCCCAAGTAATATCAGAATATTCCTTTTATTCCAGGAGATCTGTTTAATACATATAGTAAATATAACTGAATTATAAACATATTATTCTATTTCTCAACCCTGGAGATGAAATTCTAAGTGCCATAAATCCTTCTAGAATATAGTGAGCTATAAATAAATAATTAATAAACAGTGCTTAATTTGGTTCAACTTCGCTGCCACTTAATTTGATTCTGCCACTTTGGGTCTTTACTATGTTACTGTGAGCTTCAGAGTTGCCTAAGGACAGCACCCCTGACACATGAGGAGGGAACAGAACAATCTCTGCTGTTAGCTTTAATGACTTAACTAAGAAGACATTTTCATGAATAAATAAT